GGCCGAGGAGAGCGAAGGGCAGGCTCGGGAGCAGGCGGGCGCGGGCTCCTGGCACCGCCAGGCCGTGGTGTCTCTGCAGGGCCCGGGCACTCCCCGCCTCGTGCAGTCGGGTTGAGCGGGAGGCAGCTGGGGCAGCGCAACCGGCGGCGCGGCCGCGGAGAGCGAGGCTGCGGGTGTGCAATGTCTCTCCCGCTCGGGCGCCGCAGCAAGCGCGTTGCAGCAGGGGAATCGCACGAGGCCGGTCCGGGCATGGGCTCGCTCGGGCGGCCGCTGTCCTCCGCCTCGCCGGAGTGCGTCGCCGGGCAGCCCGGGCCAGCTCACGCAGGGAAACGGGCAGAGCAGAAAGCGGCCCATATTCAAGGTTGCATTTGTTGTGCCCTGTTTGCGGGAGCCCGTGCAGCGCACCTAGGCGCGACGGCTCACCCGAAGGATGATTTTTAGAAAAGAAACGAAAAACGCCGCCGGCTTCGTCTTTCACCGGCCAGAAAGAGCCCACATGCTTTCACGAGCCCTGCTCCTTTCTCCACGACGCGGGCTTCCCCGCCACGGGTTGAAAGCTTCCGATTTTGCCTTCATTTCCTTCTTTTTCTTCATTCACAAGGAAAACAAGAAATCAGAAATCGTTCCCACGAATCTCTTCCCGATGTCTTCCTCCTTCCGGCCGGCACGAAGTACCCAGGCTGCCCCCGGCCGTGCCGGCTCCCCGTCCAGCCTTTCTCGGGAGGATACGATCCTTCCCCTCTCCCCCTGCGTCTCGTTACTGTGTAACACGGAGCATTTGGAAAGAGCCAAGAAAAATACAGTGACAATCACCCAGCGAGCAGCTGGGCACGGAAATCCGCGCATTCCTCGTTACTAATAGCGTGAAATTAAATAATATGTGGTTGGTCATTTCGAAGTATCTCCCTTCTCCCCTCCATAAACAAACAAACAAAAAAAATTAAATAAATTAAAAAATCCCAGCTTCTCCTCTCGCAGGTTGTCCCGGACACATCCCCCCTCCTGTGCACGACCCGCACCCACAAACCGAGCTGAATTCGTTCAGTGTGAGGCTGGATTTCCAAACCAGCCGCAATTTAAACGGAAGTTTAAACCTTGTTTTAAACGTTTGCGCCTTGAATCAAGAGAAATATTAGATGAAATATTATATAGATGCAAAGGTGCGGCGAAGGGGCATCAGCCTCTTGGGCGTTCACAGCCTCTCAGGAGCAGGGGCAGGTAAAACTGGTGCATCGGGGGCATTTTAAATGTATTTCGAGGAAAATACCAGGGTGCCGGATTAGTTGCTCTGGGGGG